TGGGCCCTCCTGGTGGGTGTCGAAGGCGAGCGTTTCCGCTCCTCCTCCAATACGCATGCGCGCCAAACGTTCGTGGTGGGAGGGGCGAGATGTTTAACGCATGCGTGACAAGCCTGCAGGGCATGGAAGGGGGCGTGTGGGTTCCCGAGACGCATGCGCAGTCAACTGCTTTCTTTTGCGGTTGGGAGAGTCTCGCTCCCTGGGCCCTCCTGGTGGGTGTCGAAGGCGAGCGTTTCCGCTCCTCCTCCAATACGCATGCGCGCCAAACGTTCGTGGTGGGAGGGGCGAGATGTTTAACGCATGCGTGACAAGCCTGCAGGGCATGGAAGGGGGCGTGTGGGTTCCCGAGACGCATGCGCAGTCAACTGCTTTCTTTTGCGGTTGGGAGAGTCTCGCTCCCGCCCCCTACTGTAGTGCGCATGCGTGCGCCCTGGTGCGCTCGCGTGGCAGGTGTATGTCGCAAGGGGAGCAGCCGGCGCGCGGGGCTCGCAGAGGGGCTGGGCTGGGGTAGCGCACCGTGCCCGCCCTGCGCCCGTCGTTCCTTGCACGGGGACAGTGCGCCTTTCTCATGCCGTCTGCTTCTGGGGGGCCTTCCCCCTTCTCAGGGCCAGAGGCGAACAGGGCTTATTGCCCTCCGCTAAACCAGCGTCTGTGTGAACTCTTGTCCGGTGCGCAAACGAGAAAAACAAATCCCAGCCAGGTCCAGAAGAAAAAGAGAGTCTGCCCAAAACCACACCCGCTTTTCTAAGCCAGTCAGTGTGCACGTTTCATTTGGTTTGGGAGGTGGAGGTGCCAACAAAAACTCCTGTGGGTCTTGGCAACATCTAAGCTAGGGCAGTCTGCGGGCACAGCGATGTCAACATCGGCTCTGGAGTGCAGACACACCCTCACCAGCTTTCATGTAGAAAGTGTTTGAAGTCCCCAAGTTTGCAGAAAAAAAGGCTAAAAACACCGGTGTGTGTCCTCAAGGTTCAGAAGGCAGACACATAATGACCCGAAATGGATTGTTTATTTCTCTTTACTCTCATTATTTTAAGCTGGTCTCATGATTTTTTTTAACGTGGCTCCTGATGTTGATCTGCTAGAGGTTGGCCATGGTCCCTGAACGAATTTTGCATTGATGCTATATTTAATTTCTGCTATTCCAAGGAATTAAGGAGGAGGCATCATGTGACATGAGACTACAGAATTAGTAGAAGGTTGTATACATTCTGGCTGATAAAAGTGGCATGTGGACACAATTGTTTTGTCCCTGGATATGTTTGTACAAAAAATGTATATCTCTGTTTAATGCTGATGTTTGACAGGCATAACATACCTGGATTTTCCTGGAAATGACCTCCTTTTTGGTCCTCCAGTCTCCATCCAGACAGATACTTGAAATATGAAAAACTTCCCTAAGAATCTACAACCACTTCCATGAATGTTGTGGGAAATGGTCTGCCAAGAACCACTGGCTGTGTTGGACCTCAGGATTGTAGATGAATCCCCTAGTGAACTGTTTTTCATACTGGGGAACCCACCTTAAAAGGGGGTGACAAAGTGAGTACAGGATCGCTAGTAGGATCACCATACATTTAGGTTTTCCAACTATGGCCTCTTTAGTCCTCTATTCTTTGGGCAGGTGGACTTTGGAAATATGAAAAAATGTCCATGATTCTACCTTGCCTTCAGAGTTGGGTGGCTGCAGTGGCTGCTGTTCTCACCCGCCTAGCCTGGAAAACACTGTCACTGGCAGCAACAGCAGCTCATAAGGAAGAACGGCAATACCATGCCTCACTACTCTTGGTTTTGTGCTGCAAGGTAGCAGCAGTGATGCCATCTGAACTGGGCACTCCATCAGAGGCCATTGCTCTGCTGCCATCCAGCTCAGAAGACATCCCTACCATGAGCAGCAGTGCAGAGGGAAGAGAGGCAGTACCATATTCCAGCTTTTCTTCTGTGCTCTTGCAAGTGGTGACACTTACTGCTGACCTGCTAGCGGACACTTGCTCTGCTGCTGCACAGATCCAAAGATAGTGCCACCAGCAGCAGAGAAAGAAGAGTGGCAATACTATACCATGCCACTCTGCATGGCAATGGTGCCACAAGCAGCAACACAGAAGGAAAACTAGGTGCCCAGACAGTGGCCACTGCTTTCCAGCCACACAGTTTGAAAGGCCAGGAAAAATCAGACTTTTTTAATGTTTCCAAAATCTGCTCTGAGGAAAATTTCAGGACCAAAAAAGAGGTTATGTCTGGGAAAACCTAGACAGCTAGTGACCATACTAACAACCCCCCAACAGTAGCCTTGAAACTTCTTTTTTTGGTTGGAAGCCCCAGTTAGAGAAAAGCTGTACATGGGGATTCCCCAATGACTCTGAGGTCCAATATGGCCAAAAGTTTCTGGCAGACTGTTTCTCACAACTTCCTCTGAATAGGTCATAATTAGGGCCCTACCAGAATCACTGGCTGTGTCTAGACTGGCCAGTTTTTCCGGAAAATCAGCCGCTTTTCCGGAAAAACTTGCCAGCTGTCTACACTGGCCTCTTGAATTTCCGCAAAAGCACTGACGATCTCATGTAAGATTGTCAGTGTTCTTGCGGAAATAGTATGCTGCTCCCGTTCAGGCAAAAGTCCTTTTGCGCAAAAGGGCCAGTGTAGACAGCTCAGATTTGTTTTCCGCAAAAAAGCCCTGATCGTGAAAATGGCGATCGGGGCTTTTTTGCGGAAAAGCGTGTCTACATTGGCACGGACGCTTTTCCGCAAAAAGTGCTTTTGCGGAAAAGCGTCCGTGCCAATCTAGACGCTCTGTTCCGAAAATGCTTTTAACGGAAAACTTTTCTGTTAAAAGCATTTCCGGAAAATCATGCCAGTCTAGACGTAGCCTAACTGTAAACATGCCTGAACCTTAAGGGGCTTGGGATCTGATTGAAAATATAACCACTCTATCCTTCTTAAAAATGAAAGTTGTATCCAAACCACTCCTCTGAATCCCTTTAGAATACATGAATTCAAAGTGGGTCTCTAATGCTGAATGTTGTGATGTGGGAGATGATTTTCAGACACTAACGGCAAGTCCCTCAATTGCACAGAAAGTCAATAGGAGTTAGGTGCTTAACAACCATTTGTGCCTTTGAAACTCACTGGGCTTGGTGAGTTTTTAACCACTGGAGAGATATATCCTGAAGACCTGGGCAGTGGGCACTGAGGAATCAATCTTTTGGGGGTACTGAGCCCCAACAATTCTTACTACTGCACAAGATAAGTTCTTCATCTTGCCCGTTTCCTTCTCTTTGGAAGAATAATTTCAAACCTCTTGCTGTTTGTGTTCTGCTAACATTAGCTACCATGACCAAGAAATAGGCATTGGTCAAGGAACTAGAGAAAATGTGTTCTTAGTTTGTCTTTTTTAAATTAGGAAACTATTCTGACCCTTTTCTTTCAATGAAAAGATGGGAAGATCATTTTTAACTGATCAGACAGATATTAATAGGATTTAATTTGAAGTGTGTAAATACAAACTTAGAATTGGAGAAAATTGAAAATATGAGCAAAGAATAAGAAAGTTACCCACAGAGCGCCTCCTGTAGCACTCCCTGAAGTACTCATCACAGCTGGGAATATGGGCAGCAAACTGCAGGGAGGATGTGGTATCCTTTGGGGAGCAAGACCCAGGAAGGCACGGGACTACCGTGATTCATGTATGCATGGGAGGAGTTGCACCTTTCTCTTCTACAGCTCCCACTCAGTACAAACATGATTTCAATTGCATGCTCTGGCTGCTCACCACCCTTGCCTCTCTCTTTCTCCCTTCCTCCATGACTCCACGTGGTGGTAGTATATGGTAAGCACAGGGAACAGAAACAGAAAGGGAGTTAATTATGCTGATTATTTTCAGGAAGAAAGGCATTGCGCAAGAGGGTTTTTCTTGCGCAAGAAGGGGCAAGAAGGGGCAGTGTAGACAGCTCCTTCTTGCGCAAGAGCCTCTTCTGCAAAATAGCGGCTCATTACATATGCAAATGAGGCTCAGCGATATTCCACGCTTAGCCTCATTTGCATGGCTCTGGCCCAAGATCGCGCCAATGTAGACATAGCCTCTGTGTTGAGACACTAGCACTACTGCCTCAGGGTATGTCTACACTACCCCGCTAGTTCGAACTAGGGGGGTAATGTAGGCATACCGCACTTGCAAATGAAGCCCGGGAAATTCAAATCTCGGGCTTCATTTGCAAGTGCAGTATGCCTACATTACCCCGCTAGTTCGAACTAGGGGGGTAATGTAGGCATACCGCACTTGCAAATGAAGCCCGGGAAATTCAAATCTCGGGCTTCATTTGCAAGTGCAGTATGCCTACATTACCCCGCTAGTTCGAACTAGGGGGGTAATGTAGGCATACCGCACTTGCAAATGAAGCCCGGGAAATTCAAATCTCGGGCTTCATTTGCAAGTGCAGTATGCCTACATTACCCCGCTAGTTCGAACTAGCGGGGTAGTGTAGACATACCCTCAGACAGTGAGCTCTATTCCAGTTGCCCCCCTTCCCCACCAGTCACACATTCCTGGTTCCTGTATTCACAAGCCTCTTCTCTTCCAGGCCTGTGCACCCCTGCAACTCCCTTGCCCCATTTCCCCAAGACTTGGTCAACCTGCTAGTCCCCAACATCTCTACCCATGCCCCTTCTCTTCGATAGAGTTTAACCTCATATGCAGGGGCAACAGGATAAGGGAAAACTTCTTGGTGTGTCAGTATTTCAGAAGGGTCCTATAGCTGAGATATTATTTGAATATGAAATCTGGACAAAGGTGTGGTTGTCTAGAACCCAAAGAAATGTGTGGACAACAGGTCAACATTTTGTTAAGGGAACCCTTTGATATGTTTCTTTTGTAAATGTTTATTAAAAAAGACTAAATTCAATTGCCCACCGAAGCACTGTTATTGTACATGTGGAGACTCCATTTAATATTAAAGTACAAAACAGGTGGATTTCAGGCTTACTTTCAGACTAAATCTTGATGCAACCTTTACTAGAGTTGCTGATAATGTCTCTGCATATAAATATAGCTATACATTTTGACATTTAGTATATCAATCATGGGTTTGGGTTTCTTAAATAAATGCGAAAAGCTGCTTAATAATTGAGTGATCCACTTTTACTTGGTGGCCTAAATCTTCTGTCACGGTCTACATGGTAATGAACAAAGTTTTTTTCCTGAGCACACCTTGCAGTTCCCTGTAAGCTGGGCACTTGTGGAGTCGCTCAGGACAGATTCAAATGCCACCCAACTAGACTTTTTGTTTCTACCAGTGGTGCGCATTTATTCCACACATGGATGGAATAAATTAGTGAGAACACTGAGTACTCAATGTATGGGATATAACTAATGTCCTTACCAGTTTCAGGAATGAGTTTTTCATTTAGCTTCAATATGACAGATGAGTATTACCACTATTTTCCTCTGTCCTATGGTTTTGTCCTTTTGCTTGTATCTTGAAACTACTGACCAATTATGTCTCTAGGAGACTATTATGCAAAAATAACGTATAGTGCATAGTACTTATTCTTCTTCCACAGCTACTTAATAACAAAACAGAGTTTACAGAGTTCACTATAAATGCCATAAGTCTATAGCACTGAGTGCTGAGACCTCTCATGAGAGAGCCAATGCATTATAATACCATTTCCTTGATTTCTGTTCTCCACTTTGGTTTCTGATCTTTTTCCTTTCTTTCAGGATACATTTATTTCTTTCTCACTTGATTTTTCTAAAATGCAGGTCTCCAAAGAACATTTCAAGTTTATGTCTTTTGTTGTCACTGAGCCCTCTGTTCATTCTGTAGCAAGTACATGGTCCATGTGATTGATATTCTTTCGCATACGCGATACAACACACAAATAAACAACAAAGATGAGACATAGCAATGCTACAGCTGTGAAGAAAAAGAGGAGGCCAGCAAACAAAGAAGGGTTCACAGGTCGCTGGATCAGCTGGCTTTCTGCTGGGATCATATTGGTGAGGCTCATCATATAACCAAGAGACCATGCTATACTGCTGTTACCAACCTGAAAGGTGAAAAAGACAATTCATATAAACTTTTTTGCTAAAGGCCAGAGAATCCAAAAGCTGCAGCACAGCTGACACTGGTGACTTTTCTAAAAATATCAGAGGCAAAGCTTTAGCAAAGGCTCGCATTTGCAAGGATTTTTAGAGGCTATACACTTCCCTAATGCTTTTAGCATTACAAAGAAGGACCAAAGTGGAAACCTGTAAAGTAACACATAATGTTTTGCTTTCTAGATCACCTGGCTTAAACAAGTCAGATAAAGACATCAGATTGGTGCCAACACAGAGAATGACTAGGTATGGCTCCATCTACTTCATCTAAAATGTGTGTGTGTGCGCACACACATGTGTAACCAAATCACTATTAAATATCTTAGTGTGAAGTACAATTTAAGATATCAATAAGCAGTGCTCTCTGTAAACTGAGCAGTCGGACAGCCACCCAGATGATATCCAAATGCTGCCCAGCTGATCAGCAGAGTGCCCACAAGCTGGCAGCATGTGTTTCTACTTTCTATGCTTTGGTGCATATAACAAAATTTATTCCACACATAGATGTTGAAAGTTACTGGGAATACTGCCTGTAAGCATAAACAAACATTGACTTGGACTCTCCTTTCACCATCCTAGTGTTTGGCTACTTACACTTGAATTAAAAAAACCCACAACCGCCCAAACGCACACTCACACACAATCCATTTTAGTCCTGAATATTCAAGACCAAAATGGCACCTGCAAAAAGAAGTTAGGAGAAAGCCTGAAATCAGTCACTCTGCTTATTAATAAACTTGCATTCTAATGCAATATTTTTGTAGCTCATTGGTACTTAAAGCCATTGGCTCTCTTCTTTTTGCCCAACAGGAGAAAGAGGGATTGTTTGCAGGCAACTGGTGAAATTAGGCAGATTGGTTGGAAACTGTTAAGAGCGGGCTGTCTGTCATACCTTTGCCTGTCAGGTTTCAGCCTTAGTGGCACTTCTAGAAATAACTGTTCTTTCCACTCAGAAACATGTCCACTTAAATAAGTACGTTCACTTTGATCAGTACTCTATGCTGCTGTTTGCAGGGAAACAATCATAAGTAAAATTTACTCTTGTGCTGAGGACCAATTCAAGGCTTATGCAACAAGTAGTTTTGGCTGAAGACCTCAAAATAACCTGTGTGCTGGCCTTTTGCCTAGGCGTTAACTTACCATCTGCTAACACTTCTCCAGATCTTCTGGTAGCTGGCCATTAGATGGTAAAGCAAGGCAGTGTAATTATTTCCTACCTTATACTATATATTTGTCCAAATGATGGAGCTCCATTATTTAGAAGAATCTTGCTCATAATTTCTTGATGCCATACTCTCAAGTGCAGTGAGTGGATTATTTTTATGTACAATACTCAGGGCTGGCCTTACCATGAGGCGAACTGAGGCGGCTGCCTCAGACTGTGGGGGGAGGAGTGGGCGCCAGTAGGACCGAGAGTGCAGAAAATTGTGTGCGCTGCTGGTGTATATGAATTCTCTCTGCTCTAGATGCACAGAGATGGTGGAGTGCTGTGCTAGAGGAAGGAGGGCACAAGAGACATAACAGGCAGGCAGGAGAAAAGGTGAGAGGGAATAAGAAAGCAGCAGGAGCTGCAGGGAGAGAGAGGAGGAGCCTCTTATGTACCTCTGTAGCACCCCGAGGAGCCCGGACTGATTAATACCAGCACGGAAAGCACCACTTTGATTATTCAAACAGATAAAAATGCCAGTGTTTACTATGCATACAAGAAAAGTTACATTTGCTGTTCAAGGCGTTTGAAAGTTAAGTGTTACTTAAAATTTTTGAACAAGGCGTTTTAAGTTGTTAATTCTCCTTTATTGGGGTAGGTAGCAGAGCAGTATCATGAGAGGAGTAGAACAGGAAGAAGGCAGAATTGAGACCTTTCAAATTTTTGGCCCAAGTGAGGGGGTATGAGGGCGTCATTTGAGCTCCCTGCCTCAGGTGCCAAAATGTTGTGGGCCAGCCCTGACGATACTTACACCTACACTTTGTATTACCTCATGTTGTAACAGGCCAGGGCTAGCCTCCATGAAGAGTTAAAAAATCTGATTGGAACAAGCTGCAGAAATAAGACTTGAGGGTGGAGAGGAAGGAAGTGATCACAGTATAGCAGAGTCTGATTACTCTGAAGAAACAGCTGTATAACTGTCTCAGAATCTAAATGGCACTCAGAATAGTGATAGAAATGTAGCCGTGTTAGTCTGGCGTAGCTAAAACAAAATACAGGACTATGTAGCACTTTAAAGACTAACAAGATGGTTTATTAGATGATGAGCTTTCGTGGGCCAGACCCACTTCCTCAGATCAAATAGTGGAAGAAAATAGTCACAGCCATATATACCAAAGGATACAATTAAAAAAAAGTGAACACATATGAAAAGGAAGGACAAATCAAATTTCAGAACAGAAGGAGGTTGCGGGGGAAGGGGGGGGGGGAAGGGAAGGTAAAACAGCTACACCAGACTAACACGGCTACAATTCTCTCACTTTCC